AGGTGTATTATATATATATATATATATATAATCGAAAGAACATCTAAAGAAACTATAACATAGAAAGAAACCCCTGTAATAAAATCACTAACACAGAAGGAAGAAGACATGGATAATTATATTCTACGGGATGATGGTTTCTTACAAAATATAAACCTATACCTTGTAACAGGAATAAAAATTCTAAAAACATTTATTCCTATGTTGTCTATATGAGGTTTTTTTGAGCTTTACAGAAAAGGAAGTTCAAACATTTTTCATTTTTCTTTTCCAATTACAAAATGTAACTTCAAAAATACATCCAGTGTTAAAAATTGAAGAAATAGTATTACTTCTACTTCAATTTTGAAATCCGAGATGAAGGTGTGTACTCAACACCTGAAACATGCTCATTCACTATAGTGTTAATATTGTTTTTGAAGTCTGAATTTTCCACCTCAATCAGTTCCAACCTTCTTAAGCGTTTACACATGGTTCCTAATGAAATATAAAATCTTGAATCAATCTGTTGTATACAGTAGCATTTATCCGTCAAAACATTACGTTTTACACATTTGTCATGTGATACTTCTGTTGTGGAAGCCACAACTGTATTCACCACACTACTGCTGAGAACAGTACAACTGCCTGTACTTTTATAAGCGTTATATTGTGTGTGCACTGTCTGATTGGTTGGATGACAATCAAAGTAAATTTTCAACTCATGACTGCTCTGGTGCAATTCATTTCCATACATTAGAGAAGGATTAATATTTATCTTTTACATCCATTTTATTTACTATTTCCATAATTTATTTCCAATAGTGTATGTTATTATTAAATATCTTTTTATAAGTTAAAGAATAATATGCAATACAAATAATGAAATCTTACTTGTTCCGTCCCGTCTGCCAGCGCGGAGGTGCCCTCCTGCTCCGACTTCTGGAGGTCCAGAGGTCACTTCCGCGAGGCTGACCTCGGGCTTTTTCAACTGACACCCTGAAAGAACAATAGAATAGAGCAGAGCTTACTTGTCTATCCAACTACCACGTCTTCTAGAACTTGGTGCACCATACGAAGTATTCCTACGAAGTGGACCACGGGCTAGTTCCACAATTACACTAACAAAACAAAAGTTAACTACATTTCTATTTGCTATTTTTTACCATGATGGAATTTTGGCAAAGATTTCAAGAACAAACATTAAAACAAAACACAATTCTTTAGCATTTAGATGAATAATTTTTAAAAATGTAAACAAACTTTTTTACAGTTACATTCAAACTTTAATTAAACAACTTTATTATAAATGTATGGCAATAAGCTTGTCATTAATATGTAGTTTATAATGCAATATTTTTATGTTATCTGCAGTTTAACTTCTTACTTTAACTCTTCATATGCAGGCTCAGTCATTTTTAATGACCCTTATCCACCACGTTATCATGAAACTATAAAAACTAACTCTGAATATAGTAAATGTATCTTAATGATATTTGGCAAATTTATGAATGTATATTGTTATAGACAACTATACATTATTCTTTACAACCAAAGCTAATTCAAATCATGCAACAAAAAACAATGTCATAAAATTATTATAACTCAACTGATTTTCTAACTAAGCTATATGTGCATTAAAGTATTTTCTTTAACTGGTCGAAGAAATCTCAGTAATAGCAAACTATGAAATTGATACAGAATAATTCTAAACCAATCATAAGATCAAACTCACCTCAGAAGGAAGGCAATAAATTAAAATTTCATCTTTCTATTGGTTGTAAAGAATACAATGCTTTATAAAAATACCATGTGCTACGAGAGGTGTGTCATACGAGTTTCAGTTCATGACATATAGATCATTAAAGTAAGAAAAACACAGGCTATAAATTTTCACTTTAGCTCATGGATATCTAACATATAAGTGTGCAAGTCCCTCAGAAACTTATAATACAAGAGTAGAAAGAAATTCTAAAATGTGAAATTCAGAGCTAAGAAGTGTTACTTCATACACAAATGTGAAACTCAGAACTAGTTTAAACATTTCCTTTTTAAATTATAAAAATTAAAACTTGTATAGTATTAAAAATTGAATTATACACTGTGTTTTGATGCCAATATATTGATAACAAAGTGGTTTACTTTGAAGACAAAGTTTTGGGGTTAAAAAAAGGCTACAGTTGCATTTCAAAGATTTTTATTGAACAAAAATTCAATTTGATACTTTAAAAATTAGTATATATTATTCTAAACACAAAAGAGCTCAAAACAAGAAAATACCGTAAATAAAAAAAAGGTTTACTGTTATTTAGTTTGGTTCAAAACCTACAAAATTTTCATTGCTTTCACAGTAATTTTTTTTTTTATATTATTTAGGGAGCATTATAAATAGTTATGTTTTTA